TATTTTATTGGGTTTTGAAAATAATTGGAAATGAATTTGGTGGATTATACTACCTGACGATATCCGGTCTTGTGGCCAGTCAATTCAGTCCTTCGCGTCGCTCCTTACTGCTGTCCAGTTCTTTCTATCTCTCAATTCTACCTTATAACTGCAAACATGGGCGCAAATCTTTCCAAGGCGATGGGTAGGCTGTAAGCTCTCAATTTGCGTGGCTTTCGCTGATGGCGCCATAGGGAAGATATTCGGGAACAAGGAGATGAGGCTGTTAATGTTGGGGTTGGATGCTGCCGGAAAGACTAGTATGTATCCTTATAACCCGTATCAACGCCCAGGACTCTGATTATCGTGGCTAGCTATTCTTTATAAGCTCAAGTTGAACCAATCCGTCACCACCATTCCAACAGGTTTGTCAGAATTCAACTTGTAAAGTAATAGGGTCTAATGCACTGTGCAGTCGGCTTCAACGTGGAAACCGTGACATACAAGAATGTCAAATTCAACGTTTGGGACGTCGGAGGACAGGATAAGATTCGACCCCTCTGGAGACACTACTATACCGGCACACAGGGCCTCGTCTTCGTTGTCGACAGCCAGGACAGGGAACGAATTGACGAAGCGAAACAAGAATTGCACCGCATATTGAGCGACCGTGAAATGAAGGACTGTCTGTTACTCGTGTTTGCCAACAAGCAGGATCTGCCTGGAGGTGCGTCGACGTTGTTCTCACACGACCTCGCTGTTGTTGTCTGACCCTGGTCTACCGCAGCAATGTCACCCGCGGAAGTGACAGAAAAGCTTGGGCTTCATAGAATGCGGGATCGCTCATGGTATGTACATCCGAGGTACGTTGCATGATTTGTCTCTGCTGGCTGCGTCGGAAGCTCATTCTCGGGATAGTTGCGCAACAACCGGCGAAGGTCTGTTTGAAGGTCTGCAATGGCTCTCTCAAAATGTGAAGAAGCGACAGCAGTGAGGTCCTACGCACCGTTTCCTTATGTTACGCCCGTGGCATGCATTTCTTTCTTCTTTCCTTTGGAATCCTTTTTTTTCTCTTGTATATCTTATCCCTTTGAATACCCCTTCTTTTTACCCTCTACCTCATACTCATGACCACAAACACGTCTGCACGTATGAATCGGACGTCCTCCTCCTACATGCCTATCACTCTTTGTTCCGTAATAAAGCGGAATGTTTTGCTCCGAATCCGTTCGCTACTGGTTGTTAATATTCGGTGGACGATGCAGTTCACTGGTTAATAGAGTCCATTCAAACTCACTGTCTCTTGTTCGATACCTGAACGAAGTATGTAACGCATGTGTTTGCAACGTTACGATGGCGGCGTTACATACGAGTCTACTAGCGGCCATCTTGGTGCCTATTTGATGTCGTGCTCATTGAGTGATCTAGCAACATCTTTTCACTTTGCGACATCCGGCCGTACTAAAATGCTGGGGTTCACGTCCCTTTTCTCCCAACCACTACGATGTACTCTGCTCTCCGAACGGTCATTAGACGACGCGGCTTCGCCACCAATGCAACTGTGAACGGGTTCGATGGGGCCATTGGCAATACTCCCCTTGTATGGCTGGCAATTTACTGTCGGCCGAAGCCTTTCTGACTACTTTCGTATTACCAGATCTATTTGAAGGGCTTGTCAGAGCGTATTGGCTCTCGCATTTATGGCAAGGCCGAATTCCAGAACCCTGGAGGCAGCGTCAAGGACCGAGCTGCACTTGGCCTCGTTAGCAATGCGGAGAAGCAGGGGTTGTGCGTAGCTCCCGGCTTTAGTTTGCCTCGGTGCGCTCATAGGATATTTCTAGGTTGAAACCGGGAGGAACCGTTGTTGAGGGTACAGCTGGAAACACCGGAATTGGCCTTGCTCATGTCTGCAGAGCTAAGGGATACAAGTGTGTGATCTACATGCCCAACAGCCAGGTACGCATTCTATCGTTTTCGAAAATGGCAGTATGCTCATCAGGGTTACCACAGAGTCAAGAGAAAATTGACCTCTTGAAGATGCTTGGAGCAGATGTTCGACCTGTTCCCGCTGTTGCTTATGAAAACCCCAAAAATTACAACCACCAGGCGAAGGAGTACGCAGAGTCGATTCCTAACGCGGTCTGGACGAACCAGTTCGACAATACCGCCAATGCTCAGGCGCACTACGAGACCACTGGTCCTGAGATCTGGCAACAGACCGGAGGAAAGCTGGACGCGTTCATTTGTGCGACTGGCACTGGCGGCACTCTTGCTGGTGTTGGCCGATACCTCAAGGAGAAGAGCAACGGAAAGACGCAGATCTGGATTGCTGACCCTCCCGGCAGCGTGTTGACGAGCTACGTTAACAGCGGCGGCAAACTCAATGAGCGTTCAGGAGGCTCTATTACAGAAGGTATGTTCTCTGGCAAGATACGTTGTGACAATGCATCTTAGTTTGTGATCTTCAGGAATTGGCCAGGGACGTATCACCGATAACTTGGGCACTTTTGTCAAACAGGTAGACGGCGCGTTCACCGTCCCAGATGAAAAGTCAATTGCTATGTTGTACGACTTGTTGGATACCGAGGGTCTCTACCTCGGTGCCAGCTCAACGTTGAATGTTGTGGCAGCCTACGAGCTCGCACAAAAGCTCGGAAAAGGTGACTACCCAACGTTCCCTCATGCGGAGCCACTTCTGACAGTCTTTTTCTAGGATCGTCCGTGATCACCGTCCTTTGCGACGGTGCATATCGCTACCAGAGTCGTCTGTTCTCGAAGACGTGGCTGGAAAGCAAGGGTTTGCTGAGTGCTATTCCAGACCATCTTAAGAAGTACGCCGTTCTGGATTAACCAGGCGCCTGCCTCCCATAATCTTTACTTTGTAACCACTGTACTTGATTCTGTGAGTGGGGTAATAGGATTAATGTAAAATATACCATATATGCAAGATAGTCTAAGGATGCGAAAGCTCTACGTTCTAGCTCGGTGGAGGTGTTGTCGTCGATGATGTTGGCTGCGGAGGCGGTGGTGGTGGGGCTTCCGGTGCGGATCCTGACAGTTTTAGTTCTGCTTCCCAACGTTCCTTTGCTCTGAAAACCTTTGACTGGAGGTAATGAGAGTGCGTTGGAATAGCCGCTTGCTTGCCAGTCACCGGCTTCACCGGCTTTTCTGGCTTTGCTGGAGGCGAATTTGCTTTGAAGAGATGCTCATAGTTCTGAGGCGCGGCCAATGTTGGAAAGAATTGCAAGATGAACAAAGATTGAGCACACCTTTAGAACCTGTTCCATGGGAGTATCCTTCTTGACGTTCAGAATCAATTGGGCCTCGTCAATGGTCATCCGGTGTTGACGAGTTAGCTGGTCTGTAGGCGACGTTGAGGTAGCGTTGCCAACACCTGCAGCATCCGATGCCAGAGCTGCCTGTTGCGAAGATTTGACATCTAAACACGATATAAGTTTGACTGGGACGTAGATTTCAGATATAGGTCACACTTTTGGCAGCCTGCCTTCCGGCTTCGTAAAAGGCCCTCCCAAGCGCTTTACTGCCAGAGACAAGAATGTTGACGAGGATCCTGGGGGAAGCCTGTATATAGCGTGTCAATATCGTCACAATGCCCGCAGAGTCCAACATACCATTGACGAAACCACGGAACAAGCTGTAGTAGGAACTTGAGCCAGTGTCACAGTGATGATTGGCAGCCCGAAAATTCAAGCACGTGACGGTCGACTGGACGGTCTGCCGAAAAATTGGAGTCTTGCTTATATTGCTCGACGCTCGTATAACTTTTGAAATGGCGCCCAATTCCACAAGTCATTCCAGAAAAAAGCGGCCAGCAGAGGGTGAGTCAACCCAGCCAACGAAAAAGCTGAAGAAGATCCAGCAAAATGGAAAAGGGAAGGAGAAACGACACGACTCAGAGTTCCAGATCGTATCGACAACGCTCTCGCTTTCTGTCCCTCCAATATTTGCAAGAAAGCCTGTATCTGGGGTTGAGGAGATGCTGGACTCACTGATAATGAGGTGCGTGTATGTTTTCTATATTATACACCTCTTCAATGACACAACCCCTAGATATATCCCCTCCCTGGAGGGTGTAGTCGTCGCCCACTCAGATCTCGAGTTTCTGTCTGACACTGCTGCGATAAAGGGAGACTGTCCCTTCATGATATGCGATGTTAAATTCAATGCAACCGTCTGGAAGCCTAGAATTGGTATGAAAATGAGTGAGTTTCAAAGCCTGGTCCTCGCGCAGTCATCTGAATTGAAATTGCAAGAGGGTAGAATAATCCTGTCCTCCCCCGATCACATCTCCCTCCTTGTCCACCGCACATTCAACGTATCAATACCACGACACCACATACCGTCCTCTGTCTGGGAATTTGAGTACGGTCCTGCAGAGAACGATCCGGAGTTCGGGCCAGAATCTGAGGAGGAAGGTGAGGGAAGTGCTGGCAGCGAAGAGGCCAGCACAGGGAAATGGGTGCACCACTCTTCTCGCGAACGACTTGGATCACCCAACGGGAATGTGGAATTCACGGTCGTCGGGTATGCCTCCAAGATCCCAGAACGTATGATCCTGAACTTAATATCCTGTTAGATTGACTGTGGCCAACGAAATGCTTTCTCTCGTCGGTTCAATTCAAGAAGACCCATTCTCCGAAGCACACAAGATATACCCCACAGCTACAACGAGCGCCAACAAAAATTCGACTGCCGCTGTTGAACTGTCTGATGTAGTGGAAGACGAAGATTCGGAAAGCGACGAGGAAGATACCTTACGCTTGTTGAAGCGCAAGGCTGTCCCTACCACACGACTAGAAGTAAACAACGCAAAAGTGACCGCAAAGCCCAAGAAGAAAAAGCGGAAAGTAGGTACAGATAGTTAGCACACGCTGCTTCTGGTCACAATATACCTGTTACTATTCATTTGAGAAGGAGACTGTCTATGCGAGACACTTAATCACTGAGCTAAAACTATTTTCGATGATCCAACTCGGTTAAGAAAAGAATCACTAGCTTGAAGGCGCTACCAGGGTTCGAACCTGGGTTTCGGGAAATTATCCGATAGAAAGATCAGAATCCCGAGTGATAACCACTACACTATAGCGCCATGTACCCAAAACGCAGGCTGATGTATCCGTCGTCCGGCGATTGCGAAAATCCGATTATATACAAATTGAATACAACGATATTATACACATAATAAGCAGTAGAGAACCATATGCGTCAATGTTTGCTTGCGATGTATGGGGAGACAATTAGAGGGAGTTGGCTGCCATCTCGGTATTTTCCAGCGATGTATGGTCTCGTCAGGACCCTGGCGACAATTAGCACCCATATATCTGTGTAAACGTGTCTCAAGTGCTTACACGTTCGATTTGATGATCTTGTCCTCCGTGGATTTGAACACGAATCGAGTAAGCAAGATGTAGAGGAATGTTTTAATCTCGATCATCGAGAATCGCATCCCAATACATGACTAGATAAAATTCCGCTTAATCCTGAGTCGCAAAAGGATGTGCAAAGGGTGCTTACCCTTGGGCCTGCAGAGAACGTGAGGGTGTTTGCAAAAAGGCCAGGGAGTTTACTTGCTGCCTCAGGAAGGTCGTCCCACCTGTCTGGGCTGTAGTATTGCAAATTAACCGATTGCAAAGGGTGTGGCTGATTTACAATCGCTTACTTGAACTCCCATGCATCCGGCCCCCAAAACTCTTTATCGAGGTTGAACCCTTCGACTGCGACATGTATGAAACTACCTTTTGAGATAGATACACTTTTCTTGACATCTGTAGAACCGTCGGCTAGCTTTACGGGATACATGGTTGGTATTTCATCGTCTTCCGTGGCAACTCTGATTGATGAATGAACTGGGGGCACCAATCTCACGGACTCTTGAATGATGTTGTGGAGAAGCGGCAAGTGCGAAAGGGTCTCGTTCATGCTCTGAATCTCGTCCTCGTTGAGGTCTGATACGTCTGTAATCTGGTCAGGGAAGGCGTCGAGTAACTCGGCCCTGAGACGATCTTGAGCTTGGGGATTCTCGGCCAAGAGCCAGAGCGTCCATGTGAGGGTAAGGGACGAAGTGTCGGAGCCTGCAAACATGAACGTGTTGACGTTGTTGAGTATATCTTCGTCTGAGATCCGCTGGTCCTCCGGAAGGTCAACAGCGACGTTAGACTTCACTATCGTAGCTTGTTAGTAGGAATGGGAAAGGTTGGGCGTAATTACTGACGCAGCAAGCTCAGTAGATCTCTTCCTTGGTACGGCTTGCCTGACTTTTGACCCTCTTCTATTTTACGCTTTTTATCTTGAATTAATTCGCCTGCCACCTTGCGGATGACGTTCTGGCACCGATCTACTGTTCGGGATACGTTGTTGGGCTAGAGTATGAAGTGAGAATTGACTCGGTTTACAGTGAGTAGATCACGGACGAATATCTTGAACCACCAAGGTGCGTAAATCGAGAGAATTGTCGAAAATTCTGAGCCTTGGGATATGGCAACTTCAAACATATCCTTGTATGCACTGAATAGCTCGTTCGTTTCATTCTGAATGGCATTGAACTGATAATCGAAGCCTGCATTCGAGTTGGTACGCGGTCAGAGAGAAATGATAATTGTCACTCACCAGCAACCCCAATAACGTCAAAGGTGGCGCGGCTAATCCAGTGACACACGTCGATGACCTTTCCGTCCTCCTCCAAGTGCTCCGCTGAAATCATTTCCGTCCATTTGTCCTTGAGTTCCGTTCCCTTTTTGAAGACAAGAGGTACCAGTTTCCGTAAGTTCTGAATGGAGAAGGCGGGGGTTGCGACTCTGCGCTGTCGCTTGTGGACTTGACCTTCTGCAGCCAGCATCCCGCAGCCGATCATGCTTGTGATCAAGGCCCTTGACTGCCATGGCTTCTCGTACAGGCTGGAGTTTTTAAGAACGTGCGAGACAGAGAGTGGGTCCAGCGTCAAGAGTCGTTCATCCAGCTGCGGTGTTGTTGGGATTTGAACATTTCAGATGGTTCTAGCAACACTTACAGGGCCAACACCGCGGATGCGAAAGGACCTCCCGAAGTGGTGGACATATGTCTCATGGGCGCGGGGAGAAACAGAGGGACTTGAGACTTGACAATTAACGATATTCCATTGCTGAAATACGAGCCTCGCACCTCATGACCGGCTGGAGATTGGACTTGAACAGTCCGCCGGGGTTGGGCCCTGCTAACCTTAACAAGGGATTGAACCTAGGCCTCAGCAAGAGCTGGTAAGCGACATATGCCAGCAAGCATGCGACTAGCAGCATCACAGAGTTGAGAACTGAGAACATTGGAGGATGAAAGAAACGGATAGATCAAGGTCCATAATGTGGATTGGGCTTTATTGTTACAGGAAGCTTGACAAGACAATAACAAGCCCAGTGATGGTCCAGCCAGCTGTGCAATAATTAATGGTTCTCGTGATCACGATCATTGATGCCGGCGCTTCTGCAGCGCTAGACTCTGGTTGATCTCATCCTCCAACTTGTGCCAGAATACAGAAGGCTCCAGGTGTAAAGGGGGCAGCGGAAACTTCCCTAGGTCTATCGACGTCTCGCTCGTGCTCGAACCGACCGTGAACAGGCTAAGCGTGCTCGGCTGGGTCACGATTAACGCTGGAATCTCTGTCTTTTTGGCCTTTGCGGAACTTGCTGCTGGCGACTTGTGGACCTGGATACATGGAGCTGTTTTGGACCTCGCTATCTTCTTCGTATCCGCCTCGTCCATTCTTCTGGTCTCGACAACCGAGAGCCTCTTTTTGAATACTATTGGAATCGCCTCCTCGGTCACACTCGTCGAAAGACTGACCAGAAACCCTTTCATAATCTCCAGACTTTGGGTCTGGCCGCGTTTGACCTCGTAGATCATGTCGGTGTCTTCCGTAACATCCTGGCTCGTCTCTTCAAGTTCATACTCGCATTCGTCACCTTCAAGTGATGTGATTGAAGAACCGAATGAGGATCCGGAATGGTGTATATGTTCGAATGGCTCGATTTCGAGTTCCGTTCCGTCCGTGGACAGGGAGGTGTCCGAATCTTGCCGTGGGTGTTGTACCCAGCTCTCTCTTCGACTATCCTCGTTGACGATCTCTAACAGACTGTTTAGCTTCTGCGCATATTCTACTTCTTCTTTGGCAGATGACTCTCCCTGCTCCTCTTCCTCTTCGACCTCCTGGACAACACATAGTCTTGTTGAGGAAGTCTTTGCGGCTCTTAGAGGAGGAGCAAAGCAGGGGTGACTCCAGGTCTTGGAACGTGGCACCGATAGTAGCATTCGCTTGTCCTCGTTCCGGCGGATTCCTGCCTGGTCTTTTTGCGGAAGTGAAAGAGTATCGCTCGGCAGTCGAAGGTGTTGGTTGACTTGTTCGCTAGTCATCTCCGGCGGGACAATCGTGACGTTGTAAGTTGATGCCGGCCTTGCTCTATAACGTTTCTGCCATGTCCCACCAGAGATCAACGTCATCCCGAACCCAAGGAATAAGATCAATCCTGTAAGGGCCAGGGCAACGATGAAAGCTGGATCATTTATCAGATGCGAGGCATTCGAGGGCGGTTGGTAGTTGGGGCCGAGTTCTCGAGAGTGTTCGATCCTTGGCGACACCCGAACGTTAGTGCGGCTCCTTACACCAATGTCAGCCTTGTCCGCGAATCCACAAGCAAAGCTCATGAAAGTGAACCGCGGTGTTAAACCGTGACATGGCGCGGTACTGGGAGGCATGGCTACTCGTTGTTGGTGTTGGTGTTGGTAGGTTGGGTTGGGCAACGTCCATTGCAAGCTCTCGCAAGGTGGCTAACCGACATTTTAACTTGAAAGAGGCTGACATACTTTGGACATAAGTCCAGGCTCATTTCAGTTTTGACGAGTTGATTATATGACAGATAAATAATAATTGTATATGACGTGGTATAAATACATTGTGAAAAGGATGCCGTGTCTGTTATTGTAAGAAGGGATCGCCCAAGTCGTCTATCATGAGTCAGAGGAGCCTCCTGCATCGCATATATCGTAAGCACAGCGCAAGGCCTTCAATTCCTCTCGTTTTCGGTTGTACTCGTTAATAAGGTCTGCAAACTCGTCCGGTCCCATGAGGTCGTCGTCCTCTTCTGAACCGGGACCCTTTGCAAGTTTCCTGAGTTTCTCGGTCTGAATCCTGACCTGGAGCCAGCTGCCCATGTATTCGGTGTACTTGGTGTCGTACTTTGACCTGAGAGTCTTTCTGTCGAAACGGGAGTAGTCGGTGGGAGGACGTGTCGTCGAGGCTATCGTATTTGAAGTGGGCTGAGCTATTGAGACCGGCACTTGGGACGTGTTGCCGTTTGACGAACCCGTCTTGTGTGAAGGTTGAGCGTGGTTTTTGGAAAGTCCCGTTGTCTGAGGGCGTCCACTGTCTTCATCTTCTGAGGAGGTGTAGATTGGGGACTTGCGTCGTAATTTGGCCGAGGAGCGATCCCTTCCTGAAGAATTTCCGTGTGCGGAGTAACGAGCGGATTCGTTCTTTCTCGAACTGTCGTAGTCTTCAACAGGTCGTTTGGGAAGAGGCGAGGAAGGCCGGTTGCGTTTTTGAGGGACGGGAGGTAAAGGTGAAGGTTCGCGCTTAATTGGTTTTGAGCGGGACGATTGATGACCTGCATCGTTCGCTTTGGACGGTCGATATTCTCTGTCAGACTCCTCACGCTTGGGTTTGATCTGAGGGACAGACAATGGCGAGTGTTCCGTTTTGCGACGCTTTTGAGGGTGACTGGACTGTTTATAATCAGAATCGTCGTCGTTGGCTGGTCGGCGGCTGCCTTCCCTCCGCTTGTTAATGGTGCTGGCATCGGAGAACTCCCCTTCTTCCTTCTCCCTGCGAGAAAGACGGGAAATGGGGTCCCGATCGACTGTTCGCTTCTTTGATCGTCTGTCAATGTCGGATTCGGTGTTGCTTTCATCACCATATGCCCTTGAGCGCTGTGACACCTTCGCAGCTTGCTTCGAGCTGGAGCTGGAGCCTGGTTCGCGAGCAGATGGAAGATCGTTTGCCCTACGGCTGGATGCCTTGGAATCTCCGGAGGTTGTAGGAGGCCGAGACGAAGACCCGGAATGAAG